GATCGTTTAATAAATAAGATCAAGTTTCGACCAGCGTATTTATTGGTGAATGCTCTTCTTTTCTGCTGTGGAACTCTGGGAATCAAAGTGGCTATAGGACGTACACTCCAAATTGAGGATGACGTAAGTTTGAGCTGGGCCATTTCATGAGCCTTTTTTTGAACTTTGGTGAGATGGTCGTTTGGAATTCTGTAGAGTCTTTTACCGATTTTATGGGACGTAAAAATGTTTAACTGTAATGTAATTTTAGGCTCATATATTTGATATTTTGCGGTCTAAGTTTTCAGACTTCGCCAATTTTCATACAAGGCTTTATACGTGCGCTAAGGAATTTGACTTCTTGGGTTCTGACGTAAGCACTGTAGAATATTTGAAGTTGCGAATTAGAAAGCAGGAATGTTGCAAATAATTTGAGAAAAATAAGACAGGCCTCTGTAACATAAATAATTTCACCGTTAGTGAGACAAGTTTGAAACACATGCTTATTTAGTGATCAAAAGGAATGGTGCTCACAATTGTCTCTCCTGTAGCTTTTTTTTCTAGTGATTTTTGATGCTATACTTAAGCGATTTCAAAAGTTTTGAGGGGAAACTTAGAAATTTGCAGGAGCTGTTTCTCATAGATGCTATGTCTTTTTTGAAATTTCTTCTTTTGAGTTAACATTACTTTTCAAATATGTTGGTCTACAAGAGGTTTTGCAGTATTTCAGCGTTGTATGCAAAAGTTTGCTTTTGCCTAGTGCCCTAGTTGCTTTTGCCGTTGTCGTAATATATTTGTGTCGTACGGAATTAACTTCTATGTTGTGGAGGACTGGTTCTCGGAAGAAGGGGTATGCTGAGGTAATTGCTTTAGAATCTTTTCTTAAATATATTTTGATTGGAAGGCTGTTTTTTTTGTTTTAACGCTGTTATTGCTGTGTATCCTGTTGAAAATATGTTTTATATATTCGGAACGTCATAAAATTCTCAGAAATTTTAGAATGATTCTGACTTTTTAAGCTCGTATACAATACCGTTCAGTGCATCTGCTTCGGTGTGATTGCTGGACTCATTATGCGGCTGAAACTGTTTCTGACACCTCATCTATGTATAATGGCTAGTATTCTTGCGAATACGAGGGTAGGGAAGAGTACTTTGATGTTTAAATGCATGTAGTTAGTATTATGTTCGAGCATTCATGAAATTAGCAAACGGTTGTAAATATTATTTCAAATCGTCTGCTGGTGGAGTCTTACTGACGGATAGCACCAGTCTTTTTTAATCTTAAGATATCTAATGTTTTTTTCGAGGCATTAACAGAGAATTTCCAAGAATGTTCTTCAAAAAATTTTAGTTTATTAACCAGTCCTTTGGGATCGGGCTGAATAAATGGCATCATAGAGCGTTAGTTGTTGGACTAATTGCATGTATGGCATATCACGGAGTGGAGAATTTGAATAAACAATGGGGCATACATGGAGAGTACAGTAATCCAGATCAAGAAATGCTTTTCAATTGGATTCAGGATGAGACTTCGCCAAGTAATATTACAGAAAGCGTTGAAACGAAAGTCTATTGACAGGATAACGTTGGCAAATTTGAAAATTCTGTTGGCAATCGTTGTACAAATTTTTTCAGATGCTGTATTTGCGGGTACTATGCCAGTGATGGCCAACGTTAAGCTATCGACAAATCGCCCAATCGTTAATCACCCACATTACGAGGACGTAAATCTGAGGTCCCAAAGTTAATTGTGTGAATACTGAATTTTTAGTGTTCTTTAAACTGCATAGCGTTTAACATCTGTGCAGTTCAAGTTGACAGAAACTTATCGACTTATTTCAGAGCAAGAACTCTAAAAGTATACTCAATGTTTAGCAAAAAACCGCTCAGTGAGGTATATAAAACGTTGAAAGACATGGGAGTTAATTATTTTATATATCAGGCTGGTTGGTGTATGGCACATCCACAGAGGTTTTCGTTTTTATATAGCTTTTTTTGTACAAATTAAATTTTATGAGCTTGCAGCTATCTTAGCATTTGCATTGTGTTCTAAAAATCACTGAGTGGAATAATTTCCCTTATAACTGAAATAGGTTGTTATTAGAAAAAAATCGTGACGTCTCCTTGAATTATCGTTTTTATTATTTTTAGACCTGAATGCAGCTATCGGTCGATGTGGGATTTGGAAGACCCAAAAAATCGAAATCGTGAATCACTTTGTGACGTGATTTCGGATGCTCTGTCAGGTAAGCGTCCAGATGCGTTAAGCCCTATGAAAGTTGTGTACAATCAGTACAACTATGTGGTTTTTCAGCTTTAAATTGGCATTTATTGTTTTATAATTTAGCATAATGTTGTTGGTAAATATTTTACCTGGAACGTACTCTTTTTGTGATAAATTTTAACGCATTTTTCAAGATGACAATCAGGTCTGAGCGTTAATTTTAAAAAAGATAATTAGGAACGATTGTTATTCGGTTTATATTGTTTTGTTAATCCTTTTTTTTTTGGAATATTGATGTTACGTTAAAATTACAGA